AATACGCGTTTGTTTAATACACTCGCTCAAACGTCACAAACACGCAACACACACTATTGTGTGTTTTATAGCGTGCTACTTTTATAAGAATAAAAATAAAGGAGTAACTGGGCGGTTAAGTTTTATTTATTTAATTTCAATTTATATTTATAAAGGCTTCCTTTGGTGAAAGTGAATAAATATCTTTATTATTATTATTATTATCATAAGTCTTCACATATAGCAATATGTAGAAAATTAATGTTCTTTACCTCATCAATAAACATATTTTCCACAACTTATTAATAAATTCAGGCGATACCGTTTTATATTTACTTTGAATTTTATAAGTATTCTGCCGTGTTGTATCTTTGTGACTAAACACTGTACCTAAAAATAAACGATGTTTAGGAAATCGCGATCGTTCGCGAAAGAGATTCTTATTTTAGAAGGAAATAATATTATATTTCTTGATATGTCTAAGGTTTATTAAAAATGAATAAGCGATATAGTGTAAGCAGATGCAAAGAACAAAAAACAATCTGAAGATCAAGTACTTTGCCACCAATGGTCGAAATAAGGTGTTCCAAATGAATAGATATGTCTACATACAAATACAAGGAGTGACACGGAGTAGTTAAAACCACCAAATATTTATACATTAATAGTAAAAAAGTTACTTTTTCGAATTACAGATTTCCGGAAATAGTTTTATCGCATAGTAGGATAAAACTGTTCACCTAGAAATCTGAAATTTGATTATAAGAGTTAATCTAGGGACACCATGTAAAAAATGCAATATCCATATAACTATTAGATTAGTAAAAAATGCAGTAGTTCAAAAAAAATCTAACTTCAGCTTCCTAGGTGAGTAGTTTCATCTTACGATGCAGTAAAACTATTTCCGCAGATCTGGATTTCGAAAAATAGAATTGATTATTTTTTGATGGTTTTAACCACTATATGTCACTCATCACTATTCATTTGGAACACCTTATTCCAACCATGGTTATTACAATACGTCATCGTATGACGTCATAGATACTAGAGAGGTTGACGTGTACCAGCAGAAGTTGTTATTGCCCTAGTAATACCGAGGCCCTGGCGCAGAAAACAAAATTTCCATTTTTACAGAATATCTTTGTCCTTAAAGGGATAACCAGTAATCTTGAAACGCCTTGTAGCACGCTTTCCATTTAACATATATATCTAAGGTAAAAGATAAACAACCTTAGACTCCTGACACACTCTCTTCCCATCTTAACGATGTCATCATTCCGCCGTACTGAAATTACTGTATTCTATCGCATTTATGCCACAGCCCGTATATACATTTAGACAAATTATGATGCGCCCAGTAAGATCATAATCTTGGTGAAAAGTCTGGCGTTGCAGAATTTAAATAACGTTTTTCTTCTATTTACTACACAAACACTTATATCAAAGCCTCCAAAATTAATATTTCAACCTTAACGAAGTCTCGAATGGTACGTTTGTATTGTCAACTTAACCTTGGTGCGGCAGTGTTACAGTGTTTAAGTAATAACCACTATATATGCTTAATTGAACATTTTTTACGCCAAATTAATGGTAAAGCTAAAATTCGTCACGCATTTGGCAAAACGTTAAACATCGTGCATTCCGACAGACGTTGATTATTCTTCTTCATTCAATATGAAGTGAGTGTTGCAATAAAACGAAACAAAGTTTTCTGAGTTTTATTGTAATGAAAAGGTAAGGCAATGTAATTTTACCGTCGCTATGTCCCAGAATTTTATAGAATCATTTTTTTAATGCTGACAACAAGAATGTTGATTGTCTAATAGTAGCGCCATTGTTTCCGTGTTAAAAAGTGCCTTGGCAGCGTTTACTTCATTCTTTATTTGGATACTAGGAGACTAAGGAACGGGCTTTAGCATCTCTTAAGTTCAACCTTTTAGTCTCAAAATTGACCACTTTGCCCAATGTTAGCATTTAATGATGCATAATGATATACCCGATTCTATGAGCGGCCTGTGACATATACGTGTCTCCCGTAAGCCGATACCCGAAACCAACCGAAGCTAAGGGTTCTGAACGGACCTTCATAACCACGGCTTCGAATATTGCGGAAGGGAGTGTAAATTAGGGTCCCAAATACCTCTTTATAGAGATTGCCTTGTCCGTTTGGGGAGCCAGTCACGTAATGATATTGTGATCCACCTAATCGTCTGAATTGCTTGTATCTCTAGTTTTTAATACAAAATTTGGAAGTATTTTAAAACCAGCTACGTAAAGATAGTTTTCGTTATGAGTTTCACAGTGTAATGAAAATATGATTGTGTTCGGTTTACGGCTATATTAAGATGTCGTTCGTAGGTCTACGTTATGTGTACTTGCGGTTATAGAATGAATAACAGTTATAATTGGCGAAATATTATTTGCACCGATTCGTCTCATCGCTTCATCTTTAGAATACAATAGGACAAAAGCGTGAGTCCTCCTGGTAACGCACATGCCATCTATATAGTGCAAACAACTAATGTAAACACTTTTACGCATTGGGACTTATAAACTATTATGGACTAAATTGGATAATCTTAATGCGGAACTGATATTGTTGAATTAGTAAGAAAACAGTCGGCAGTCGGTATTTTACGAAGTATGTACCTAGTTTTAAAAAAACCGACCTGATGAGTAAAGAAATAATTCAAAATTAGAATTCAGAAAAAGCATTTAACGCACTTATGACACGTACGATGAACCAATATCGTTAAGTCCATGTACCTACGCTTTTAGTAAAAGAAGTGTTGATGGTTTTATTACTCTATTGTAACAGAAATGATAACCCGTTCCAAGAGATAACATTCAACGATGCAAATAATATTTCTTCAATTATACTAATAACGATCTACCTGGGGTAAAGCAAAAGAGGGATACAACAAGGCAAAAGAGATTATTTATTCGAACTACTTGTTATAGATCCGTTTGTAACACTCTGTAATAGAAATTAAAGTTTGTTGTTAGTAAAATAAGTTCACACTGATGAATTTCTAAGAATTCATGGTTCACATAGGTACGTATATATATTTATGTGTCGTGGTGATTTACTACAATCGCGACAGCAACGTCTTTGAAAAGTGGGACTGGGAAACACTTCCATAAGAAGCGTTTGGTTTGTTCACACTAAACGTAATCCATTCTCGTAATATAACGTAAAAAACGTAATAATCGTTTAATATTACTAAGTCGTAATAGAAATGTAATCCTATGTATCGCGTACGCGATAGTTGTTTGAGTCAATTTCAGTGATATAATTGTTGCCGTAAGCTATAGCAGAAATATTAAAGTGCCTGATAAATAAATTAGCAAGGATACGGCAGTTCTAGGGCTAAGTCTATGTAACACACTATTACCTTTTTTATTCTTTTTTTCTGACTTTGATGTTTTGCAGTTGGTAGCTGTTGGCCTTGACTGCGCCACCGGATGTAATGGGCGAGCTGACGGCTGATAACCCGTACACTATTACCATTTTCCTTACCATCTTAAGCAAGTGTTCTTTTTTAGAAGGAACACACTTCACTATGTAGAAAAGTTAACTCTGAATGTTTTTATCCTTATACATATATTTTGTTTTAATAAACCACAAAGTATTTATTACTCATAATCAGTCGCTGCATATTGAAATATGCGCTTATAAATATAATTACAAAATATATTAAACGCACTTAGCCAATATTCAAGAAACTCTACATACCGAAAAATTTAAATTATAATGTACATTTTTACTATTGTACGAACATTTACAATACAAGTATAATTATTGAATGCATTAGGGCTTGCACGTACAAGGGCGTTTGTAAATTACAATGTTTTGCTTCTTATAGCGTTAAACGTGAAGCAGGATTACGTCCGAATTGAATAATTTTCTGTTTTGACCATATTGAATCATAGCGCAATTTTGTAATGGTATCATATAAAGGGGCAACACGTAATATGCTTTGCATCACGTTCACGTTTGATTCTTAATAAAATGAGAACGGCACCCATCACCCAGTCACACCAATGAACACAGAACATGAACAGACAGCGTTCATATTAAGGTTCCCTTCACGTTCGAAATCAGCATCACATATGAAATTGTATTAATTAAAAAATAAGTTTTAATAGCAGTAGAACTTCTTGTGAAAAAGTTCGTCTGGGGAAATACTGCCATCTTACCTATTTCTGCCGCCAAGCGGTAATGTCGTGAGCGATACAGCGTTCCGTTTTTGAAAGGTAATAGCACGTTCCCATTGTCGTGACTTGTATATTTAAATGAAGTTGTTAACACATAAAACAACACGATCAACTGTCGTTGAAGAATTATGGGAAGAGCTAGAACGACAGTCGTCTGACGATAAATATTCTATCCTGACGTTTGTCAGGATAGAATTGTGACGACAGATAATCGCAGCTTCAAACGATTGTGTCATGCAAACGACAAGGCGGTTGCCGTGAACCGATAAATTGTCGTCACGATCTAATGGGAACAGCTAGACATGACAGCCGTTCAACGGTAAAATAAACGTCCACGACAGTCACGACAGATAGTCGTGACATGGGAACAGACTAGACGTGACAGTCGTCCAACTATAATAAAACATTACGACATAATGGGAACGCGCCTTAAGGGTGTTGGTGAAATTACAAAGACATGGGACTTGCCAACTTATGTCTCAAGGTGACGAATGCAATGGTAGTGCTCCTCAGATCTCTGTGATTTAAAACTCTGAGTGGCACTGCAAATGCTGGACGCCTATCGTGTCGCTTACCACCAGACGCACATCTTGTTTGTCCCGTCACTTGGTGTCATATAAAAAACTCAGTTACACCAATGTAAACATAAACGTACAGTTTGATTATGTGGCTATCTTCACATAAGTATCTTTATGTTCGGAAATGAACTTTACATTGATACAGAATCGAGCGTAACTGCTTTAAGTGTAACCACCGATTAACAACACTAGTACATGTAGCTATATTCATTGCAGACGAATACACGTGCCTACTTCTCTCAGCAATTGCCTGAAGTAAATAAGACATTACAAAATGAAGTTTTATATGGTAAGTAACAATGACTGATACAAATTGGATTCTATTCTTGTGCCGAAGGTCAGTTAATATTGTGATTTCCAGATAATATAGATATAAAAGTTTAACGTTATAGAGTACTGAAAACATTTTTCGTATTTAAACATGTCTAATTTACATAACAAAACAGATGTGCACACCTCAACGGAAAGGTTATGTTTTCATTTTATTAACCGACTTCAAAAAAGGAGGAGGTTCTCAATTCGACTGAATTTTTGTGTATGTTACGCGATTAGTTAGGAACCGATTTCGATTATTTTTTTTTTCTGGAACTTAGTGGTGCTCTCATTCAAAATTGAAGAAAATATTCCAACTCTAATGGTGGCAAATTAGGGGATAAATCCGGTTTATTGGATTTCCACTTTTTCATTAACCGATTACAACAAAACTTGGCAAATACATGCTATTCCAAAAACTATTGATGTTGATTTTTTTACAAAAAGGTTTAATTATAAACGAGGTACATTAATTCCTTTTTAACCGACTTCAAAAAAGGAGGAGATTTTCAATTTGACTGTGTTTTTTGTATGTATGTTACGCGATAACTCATTTGTGAACCGATTTTGATGATTCTTTTTATTGGAAAGAGGGTACCTCAGCAGTACTCCCAATTAAATTTAAAGAAAATATTCCACTTCTAAGGGTGGCAAACTAGGGAATGAATCGAATTTCGCGCACTTTCCGGTAACCAATTTCAATAAAACTTGACAAATAAATGTAATTCCACGAACTTTAACTTTAGAAGTCGGTTTTTTTAGAACTCTGTACTGAGATTATCATATTATTTTTCGCTTACTATAAGTCACCATAAAACTTTTTAATTGTAAGCTACTAGTAGATAGTGATATACGACCACGGGACAGCCACTAACATGCTTGCTCCATGCTTGCGTCATAATAAAATCTAACTTTGCTTATTTTTTGTTACCAGTTTACATATCTCTTAATAGTCGTGACGGCCGAAGAGTTTTTGGTAATGCTATACGATAACTCGAATGACTACGAAATGCAGGAATTTATAGAAGATCCAAAGTACACCAGATTGCTGACCGATTGCGACGACGATAAATTCAATCAAAATGTTAACATACCAAGCACTTTGAAACTGAAATCACAAAACACGAATCCATCAAAATTAAGCTTTGGAAATTACGCGGCTCAAGCCAGACCAGGTTACCAGAACTATATGCAGAATACAAAATCCTACATGGACGGTTGGCTGCAGCAGTACGGCTATAACAGGCCTTCCTATGATAAGACTCCACTTGGACAATTACCACCTCCTCGTAAGAAGCGCCGGCAGTGGGTGATACATAACCCGAATGGCTACCACCCAGTTAATCGCCTAAAGGACAATTACAATAACAACTACGGCAACGTACAGGTAAAGCAGAACCCGATCCGAACTTTTTAATATTTATTTATTTAATAATTACAATAGCATTAACATAGTAAACCTAAACAAATTTACATATATGTGCACCTCCTGTAACAATAATATGTGTAAAATAACAAAATTTTTAATGTAAACATAATACGAAAAAATAATGAAGAAATAACACAATTAACAAACCAGTAGCTCATCGGCGCGACAGAGTGCGCGAGTTGCAAGGAAAACACACACACACACGCACGCGCACGCGCACGCGCGCACGCACACACACACACACACACACATGTTTATAAGTAGTTTTGTTTGTAATTACTCAATAATAGAAATTAAATCTACCCGAGGACCTGGTAATCTGAGATACAGGTTTTCCTACTTCAGGGATTAGCCTCTACAACTAGACTATATTTTGATATTACTTACACAGTGTCAATTGACTGCCACAACAATAAGAATGTCACAAACATGTCAAGTTACAAATTAAATTTGTCAAGAATGAAAAACATCCAGATAAAGTTTTGAGCAGAAATGGGTTGAAATGGGTAAAACCCGGCTCTTTGGGTCAAAACCCTGTTAAAACCCGGGCGGGTTGATTAGTTTAAACCCGCTGCCCAACTTTTAAAAATAAAATAATGTCTCCATGAAGCAAAATTTTCTATCAACAATATTTACAGTGCTATCCCTCCATGTGGTGTAGCAACAGGACTAGACGTAGACTAATATTATAATAAAATGCAGTGTTTATAGGGTATACTACAACTTTGTAATAATACACAAGTACTAGTCGGCGAGCTTTTCCAACTCAATCAACGTTTGAAATGTTTAGACTTACGTCTAAATATTACTTTCGTATCCACTCCTATTTTCTTGTTATTAGCTGTAACAAAAGGTAATTGTAAATGATGAACTTGTCTATCTAGCACTGCTAAGTCCAAATCACTAAATGGTCAACCTATAGTCACAATAGTGGACAAGACGTTTAAAATTAACTATGTGTTGGAAGAACTCGCCGACACTAAAACACTAGGCAGCGAGGGATTTTTATATGACTATAACGACAACGACAATTTTATGTTTACAGATAAAGGATCGATCGCCGTACTATAATAAGGGATACATATACAATAACAATTACAACCAGTATAATAACATCCAAAACAACAACAACAACAACATCAACTACAGCAAAAACAGCCGCAACAAAAATAACAACAAAAACAAAAGCAAACACAAATACAAAAACAACCACCAGCACAACAACAACAAGCAAAACAACAAAAAGACGCCAGGCGCCAACAACAAGAGCGTCAACTGCAATAACGGACGTTGCACCATTTGTATCAATGAACAATGTAAGGAATGTATTACCGGAATGGGCAAGTGCGAAATATGTGTCGGTGGCTCTTGTAGCTCCGTCAGTCTATAATGGAGAAAACAAACGACAAATTTCTTCCAGTAGGTGGTGTACCATCTAGTGCTGCTTTTTTAACCAACTTCAAAAAAGGAGGAGGTTCTCAATTCGTCTGTATGTTTTTTTGTATGTATGTTACGCGATAACTCCGCCATTTGTGAACCAATTGTGATGATTCTTTTTTTGTTGGAAAGAAGGTACCTCAGATGTGGTCTTATTTAAATTTCAAGAAAATATTCCACTTCTAAGGGTGGCAAACTAGGGGATGAATGACTTTTGAGGTCGGTTTTTTAAACCAGGGAGGTTAGGTTATCAGAGAATCAAAAGTAATTTAAGTCAATTTTGTTCTCTCTGAAAGAATATTTTAGTGGACAGTTTGCGACAATTTTTTTGTAGCAGTAGAGTTCCTTGTGAAAGAGTTCCTCCAGGGAAGTACATGAACCGTAAATTAGACAGCATGTTTTTGTGTGTATGTTACGCGGTTTCTCCGACTTTTGTGAATCGATTTCGATGATTCTTTTTCTGTTGGAAAGAGGTCAGTGGTGGTCTCATTTAAACTTAAAGAAAATATTCCACCTTTAAGGGTGGCAAACTAGGGGATGAATCTAATTCATTAGATTTCACCCATTTTCCGTTAACCGATTTTAATAAATCTCGATAAGTAGATGTAACTCCACAAACTTTTGAGGTCAGTTCTTTTTTATAAAAAGTTTTAATTATTTCAATAAAGTTTGAGTAAGACTGTACTACTTTGATGTTAATGTAATTGCTATTTTATGCCTAATTCTTATTTATCTACATATAAAATGAGCTTGTGTGTGTGTTACTATTTTTATATACTTAAGATTGAAAATGACAAAGAACGCGTAAATTGTGAATTAAATGCCTAGCTAAATAATTGAGATATATACGTATAAAAAGATACTTAGGTAGTCATACAATATATGTATACTTAGGTAGTCATACAATACCAAGTAAGGAGCTAAACAAAATTCAAAACATACGCAAATTACATATTAAAATAACACAAAGGAACACGTAAAATTATGTAAACAACAAAAATTGTTAATAATTTCAATTACGGACTACTCTTGTGGAAAAGTTCGTCCAAGGAAGTACTGCCGCCTTGCCTGTTTCTGGCGCCAAGCAGTAACGTAAGCATTTCGGTTTTGATGTGTAAGGGTCGTGGTGAAATTACAGGCACATCGGACTTGTCATGTCTCGAAGTGACTGTGATTTAGAGCTCTGAGAGGCACTGCAACTGTTATGGACAGGCGTGGCGCTTACCACCACGCGCATGACTTGTTCGTCCTGTCATTAGGCATCATAAAAAACGCATGTAATCCCTTTGGTAAAGATCTGATTGTGAATATTACACGATAGACAGTGAAATTTTAACCGGTAATGTAGAGCTTTGAGCTGTATAAACTGGTATACATATGTATGCAGGTATTCATAAATACTGTATTTCCGGTCAAGCCTCGTTCGACATCGGCTCGTTCGATCTGGGGGGCACTGCCGCTGCGCCCGTCACCACGAGTCACAAGTTGACAAGTCCCATGTGCCTGTATGTATTTTCAGTACCTATTACTAAGATTTTATTTCATTTTTTTGTTATTCTATTTTGTTTTTGTTTTAATTTAGCTTTACCGTCTTTTTTTTCAGTTTCTTACTGTGTGCATTTTTGTGTTGTAGCGTTTTGTTATTAATGGTTCCTATTCTATTCTATTGTAAATACACCGAGAAAAGCTTCAAAATTACCTACAACTCCCCTCTTTTTGATTCGGAGGTTAAAAACCAGTTGCAAGACGTAAGTTGAAAATACATTAGAATATTTTAACTTTCACATAATAAATACATACATTGTTAAAATACATTAAATACGACATAATTAAAGAGTACAGCTCTATTTATCTACCTCTATTTATTTACCTACATGTATGTGTACAGTTCTATTTATCTATAGGTATATTTTTTCTTTTTGTTTCTTTTATTTTATCTATTTAGAGTATTCATTCCGAGAATCCCGTATGGAATATTCTGAGAGTCCGAACATTTTTCTTTTTAGTTTTCAGTCTCGTGAATATCGAAACTTTAGTCACTTAATTAAATAGTATTAGAAAATCTACTTAACTAAAGTCATTTTGAATTCTCGTTAATGGACGTGGTAACAATGTAAGGAAGACCTTAGCAGAGAATAAAGAATAGCGAACGGACACTTTCCACCTCTCCCAAGTTTTAGATACCGCACCACGACCCGCACATTGCCGGTCACATTGACTGAACGACAACAAGGCTGCCGGCGACCCGTTTTCGCGCGAAGACGGCTTTGATATTTGAGTATAGTTTTCATGTATTCATTACGAAACTTGTACGTTAATATAAAACATCATTTTACGTTACTATTTATAATGGTCGTGAATTGTTCTGTGTACGGCTGTTTATCATCATTTTCCGAAAGATGAAACGAAGTAAGTAAAAAAAATTATGTCTGAGACTCTTCATTCATTCTCTTCATTTATTTACTGCAGAGTAATATATGTACGTATAAAAAATACAGATTTATTATATCAATATAATGAGACGCCATGACTTCGCGAATTTTCTATTTGTATTGCCGATAAATATTACGTAGGTAGTGAATATATCTGATTATTAACTAAACTTGGACAAGCAATTTCAAACACCTTGGTTACCTTACTTAAAAGTACATGTCCGAAATATAACAGTTTAAGTGTTTTTAATATATTTTTGAAATAAATCTTCAATATTACTCTACTTAGGGAATTAATTAAAAATATAATAATATATCGATATAAATACCTAATAGATAAGTGTAATTATTAGGATTCCATTAATATAATCATAGATAACAGATTCGCGTCAGAATTTTCGCTATGTTGCCGCTCTGGCCACGCAACGTAATAGTGCGAGAAAGTGATGGGTAACCCTGCCACTTCACGCACACATTTACGCGTGTGCAGATAGCGCCTTGCTGTATGTAGTAGTAGTAGGTAAATAATTTCCGATCGCCGTATGGAGTGTCCGGGGTGTGACCTTAGTATGATCTGTGGAGATTGAAGAATGATAGTAATAAAATCAGCTTAGGTCCTCTCTATCTGAAACTAAATTAAACGCCCTTTGTTTGTTTCTATAAAAACGAATTAATTATTTAATTTATAATATGAGTTAATATATAACTTGAATAAAATATCATGTTTTTAAATAGCTAGCCTATAAATATGGAAACCTACATTTAAAATGTCTTGACAGTCTCATTTTCCCGGGATTTTTGACCGCACCGGGTCTCGACTTTTTTCTCGGGCCCGGAAATGCAGCGAGATTAAAAACCCTACTATTAACTCAGCTTTTCGTATATAATATATTTAATTAAACACGAACGTAAATAGCTATTCTGCTCAATAACATTAGATATTATTGTAATAGCGTTACTAATGGCAATAACTTATAAAAAAACTTAAAATAATTAAAACCAAAATATGCTCCGCTGAAAAATCTTATTTTCTACAAAACACCGACGATATGTGGATTTTCATAAATACTGTATTTTCTTTCAACCCACGTTCGACAATAGAAATCAATCTCGTGGCGTTTCATAGTATAAACAAAATTAGGTAGCTTGTGGTCGTAAGAAAAATTGCGTAAGCTCAGAAACACGGTGCCTTTCTATCTAACAAATTCTATTTCTAAACCACATGTAGAATATTCTAGATTTTCCTTTTCTAGCTCATATTGGTGTGTTTGGTGTGATAATTGTATGTAAATGTAGAACACAAAAATTAATTTTAAAAAAATACAAGTAAGGTCAGAGGGACTTGAAGCCTTAACTCATAATGTAAAGAGTTTAGCACTATAGTCTCACAGTCTATAAAGCAGACAAAAAAAATTAAAGGATTTTAAAAGAGATGTCGCTGCGATGCTACTAATTCAGCGGGAATAAATAAATTTCACAGTTGTGAAATCTTGAGAACACGCGGTGTACATTACCTTCATAAGAAATACAATCATCTTTTGCGGAAAGAGAAACGTTAGCACAATTTGCACGTTTCCGGTAAATCAAAATGAAAATTAACAAAATAATCTTTATTTCATAGGTAAGTATTATTACACTTGAAATCGTCACATTGGTTAAACTCTACCGCTTGGGTTACTCTTTGTAAATAACATTTGTACACATTCAACATTTTTACAATATTTTTTTTTTGTTTTCAAACATCAGAGATCGAGCCTACCTCCATTGGCTAAACAGGTTACTACCATGGATTTTTGTCATCCAAGTACGCAGAAGTTGTATATGTACCTTTAGCATAAAGTTTTTGTTTCATAACCGGAATCTTGTTATAGAAGCTCCTTAATGAATTTGTGACTTTGTGAAGACGACTATCAAGAACAGCTAGTTTATTTTTATGCCTCGTATTAATGTTATGTCTCACTATTTTCCTCTTAACATAAATTACATTTTCATAAATGTACTGAGACGCTAGTGTAAGAATGTTAATTTCCTTAAACTTATCTCTCAAAAATATATCGTTAGTAGGAATTAAAGCTGATAAACAAAGCAAGTTTAGTATACTTGAATTTTTTTGTAAAACTCTACCTGATCTTCTTAGAGCTCAAAACATTTGGCACAAAGTGTGTTCCTCCTACCCCTGTGTGGCTGTATAATTATTAAAGTTACATTTTTTTAATAAAGAGCCAACGACAATCGACAGTTTTTTATCATATTTTCTGCCTCTGCTCACTGGCGGTCGTTTATAACGCAGGGTAAGTGCCCCATTCACATCGGAGGTCCATCCATCAACCGCTTTATGTCACCGCTCTCACTGCGCGCAAATTGATAAATTCGATCGGAAAAATTAAATTCACCAATTCTTTTTCCTACACAGTTATAGGCGTCGTACCTATTGTGGTCCTCTCTAGACTCCAAAGAACAGTTTTTTTAACGCTACGTTTGAGTTTTTGGTTGCGAACTCGAAGAGGTCCACGTGATGACGAATTGTCAATGGGCGAAGTCGAATCATCAACGAAAGTGGAGCCCATTTGGGCAGGACGTTACCAATTTTTTGAATTTCCATAAAAGGAATAAACCATATTACGCAGATAGTACCTACATATGTA